CCCGGCCGCGGCCCCGGCCCCGGCCCCACCAGCGCCCCCGCCCCAGCGCGTGCCCCCCGCCGCTGCGGCCGGGCCCCCGAGGCCACCATGAAGAAGGAGATGTGCTCCGTGGCCTTCCTCAAGGCGGTCTTCGCGGAGTTCCTGGCCACCCTCATCTTTGTCTTCTTCGGTCTCGGCTCGGCCCTCAAGTGGCCATCGGCACTGCCCTCCATTCTCCAGATCTCCATGGCCTTTGGCTTGGCCATAGGCACCCTGGCCCAAGCCCTGGGGCCCGTGAGTGGAGGCCACATCAACCCCGCCGTCACCCTGGCGCTCTTAGTAGGCAACCAGATCTCACTGCTCCGGGCTGTCTTCTACGTGGCAGCCCAGCTGGTGGGTGCCATTGCCGGAGCAGGCATCCTTTACGGGGTGGCACCGACCAATGCCCGGGGCAACCTGGCCGTCAACGCGGTGAGTCCCATCCCACTGAGGGAAGGGTGGGCAGGACCCCCGGGTGTGCTGAGGACCGAGTCCCCCAGGCCCCACCTTGAGAATGCGTCAGCTGAGTGGCCGTCCACACCCTTGCCAGGAAGGCCAGGTAGATGACCCTACAGCAGATCCGTGCTCCCAACAAAGCCACCCCACCTCACATCTGTCTCCTTCATCCCCTTCCCTCCTACTGGCCCACCCTGGCCCCCTTCTGCCTTCCCTCCGGTCTCACCTTAGAGTTCTTCTCTTGAACCCCTCACCTCTCTTGTCTGCGCCAGTACAGTAGTTTTAATGGAACTACTGGAGAGAAACTGTATGGGGTAACCATAGCATCTCTGTGCTTCACTATCTTATTTTATTTCATTTTATTTTGAGATAGGGTCTTGTGTAGTTCAGGCTGGCCTTGAACTCACCGTGGCCTTGTGGTAATCCTCCTGCCACAGACTCCCAAGTGCTGGGATTACAGGTGTGCGCCAACACAACTGGATCTGTGCTTCACTCTTCTTGGCCATTACACAGGGGTGCCCAAACCACAACAGGTGTCATAAGGATTCCGTTTAGATGGAGACCCCCTGTAATGTGGTACCAGTGTACAGTGGCCTCTGTCAAATATTGGTTCCCCCTTTCCTCACCCCTTTCTTCCCTCCCTGCGGCCTCCCTCTCCTGCAGCCCTGGGTTCAGCCCCCTGTCGCATAAAAACTGGGTTCATTAATCAAATACAGAGGAGGATTTTCATGGCCATTGTCAAGCCATGAGTCAGCCACACTGGCGAGACGGGTTTGAGGTTGGCACCAGCAGCGGATTGGGCATGGGTAGGAGGCTGGGGGCAGTTTGCAATAGGCAAACTGGGCAGCTGCCCACAGGAGGGAGGGTAAAAGCCAGCCTGTCGGGGGTGGGGATTGGGCAGACCGTTTGCAAGATGGTATCCAAGAGGGGTTCCCCACACTCTGCCCTTTAGCCACAGGCCTGAACTTCAAGCTTGTGCAAACCGTGAAGTGCACAGTCTCTTCAGAGAATGGCCTCTCTGGGGTGGCACACACAGGGCTTGGCTTCCAGGTGCTCAGACTCCAAGTGTCCTTGGAGGCTGAAAGTCTGATCCTGCAGGCCCTAGCCATGCAGCGGGAAGCAATGAGGTCCTAACCCAACCTCCCCTTCCAGCTCAACAACAACACGACGCCGGGCCAGGCTGTGGTGGTGGAGCTCATTCTGACCTTCCAGCTGGCACTCTGCATCTTCTCCTCCACCGATTCTCGCCGCACCAGCCCCGTGGGCTCCCCAGCCCTGTCCATTGGCTTTTCTGTCGCTCTGGGCCACCTTGTGGGGGTGAGTGGGGCTGACACGCCTCAGGGGTGCCACTTGGGGGAGCCACTGGGGCAAATCCAGGAGCCCTGAGGGGCATCCCCTCTAGACTGATGAGCTCTCCCAGAGAGCTTAAGGCTTAGCCTTAAAGACTGCTGGGCCCAGACTAGCTCCCCCCAAGCCTTCTCTGGACCAGGGAAAGATAGGAGCAGGGGTGGGAAGAGACTAAGGAGTAGTAGACTAAGGGTGGGAGGAGAGCAGGACGCGGGTAGGGTTCCCTGGTTGAGTGGACAGCCAGGATCC